CTAAACCAGGGCACCCAAGGCCTCGTCCAACCTGGCCTTGAACACCACCAGGGATGGAGCATTCCCTGGGCACCCATTCCAGTGCCTCAGCACCCTCACAGTGAGGAACTTCTCCCTTAGATCCAATCTAAACTTCTCCTAAGTTTTAACCCATCACCCCTTGTCCTGTCACTGCAGTCCCTAATGAAGAGTCCATCCCCAGCATCCCTATAGGCCCCCTTCAGACACTGGAAGCTGCTCTGAGGTCTCCACGCAGCCTGGCCTGAACAGCCCCAACTCTCTCATCCTATCCCCATACAGGAGCTGCTCCAGCCCCTGAGCATCCTCATGGCCCTGTTCCAACAGTTCCATGTCCTTTTGATGCTGAGGACCCCAGAACTGCACCCAATGCTCCAGGGGAGGTCTCACCAGAGCAGAGTAAAGGGTCAGGATCACCTCCATGGCCCTGCTGCTCCCGCTCCTTTGCCTGCAGCGCAGGATCCGGTACTTACGGCGGCGCGATGCCCATGGCGTGCAGGTTGGCCAAGCCCACCATGTTGGCATTCCCGATGAGCCCTGGTTTCAGAGCCAACTGCGCCTGGATCCGGGCCTGGAGCTCGGCGGCTTTCCTGGCCTTCTCGATGGCATCGTTCATGAAGGTGGCCGCCTGCGAGGGCTGGATGGTGTTGCCGATGGGCAGCCGTTCCGATTGGGATGAAGAGGAGAGTTTGGGCTGCAAACAGAGAGAGGGGGAGAGCTTGCAGTGGGTGCTGTGGGTGCTATGGGTGCTATAGGAGGCGCCTGCGGTACCTGTGGGGTCGGGGGGCTGATGAAGCTGAGCTGCTTCTTCCTCTCCTCGATCTGCCGCGTGGCTGCCTCCATCATCTGCTTGATCTGGGGGGAGAGAAGCAGGGCCTGAGCCTTCCTCATCTAGCACCATGGTCCCCATAGCAACCGCAGCCTGGTGGGGGGGGTAGGACCACATCCACCAACCCCAAAACAGCCCCCAGGAGCCATGAAGAACCCCCCCACCCCAAACCCCTTCCCATCACTGTGACCCCAATGGGGCAGCCGAGCCTTGAGGCTGCTCCCGGTTGGGATTCCAAGCGGATGGAGCCACACTGGGATGAAGGACGGCGGCTCAGGCTCACCTGCAGCTTGGTCAGCATTCCCGGGCTCTCCGATGGGGGGCCTGGGATGACTTCCGGTTCGTCCTCCACCTCCTCGAAGCGAGGGATGCGCCGCTTCTTCACCCCGGAGGATTCCTTGGATACCTCCGAGTCGTCCCCAAACACATCCTGATGGGACAGGAGGCAAAGGGGGAAGCTGGGGTTAACACCGAGGGGGTTTCTCCTCCTGGCCACGTGAGGAAGCAGCACTTGATGGGCTTGGAACTGCCAGGGAAGCGCTCACGGGTATCCCCATGCCAAGCGGCAATGATGATCCATGGAAAAGCAGGAAGGAGACCTCATAGGGATGAATGGGTCTGGATCAAAGCCACCCCCTCTGCTGCTCAGAGGGGGGTTCTGCCCTCAGAGATGCAAGATCTCGCTCAGCACCCCATAGCCGAGCCGATGGGAATAAAGCGGTTTCCCTATTGGAATGCCAGCCTTGGGTTGGCTTGGAAAAGACCTCAAAGCTCATCTTTGGACACCTTCCATTGGAGCAAGCTCCAGGATCCAACCTGGCCTTGAGCACTGCCAGGGATGGGGCATCCAAACCTTCCTCCTTCCACCCATTCCAGTGCCTCAGCACCCTCACAGCTCAGATCCCATCTCCTCCAGCAGGATGAAGCCATTCCCCTTGGCCTCCATCCCTGCATCCAAAGCCCCTTCTCCAGGCTCCCTATGGAGCTCCTCCATCCCCATCAGCGCCTTCAGTGCCAGCATCCTCCCTCTCCCACCGGCAGCTGCATCCCCAGCCCCGGAAGCAGCTCAGCACCCCTCAGCATCCCCCCCTTTCCGAAGGGCTCCATAGGGGCAATGGGGAGCTGAAGGCCTGCGTTGGGAGCCTGCAGCCACGGTGTCGGGTGGGAAGAGGACATCCACAGCGGTCGCCAGCAGCCGCGCTTCCCTTCTTCACTACAAGGCCACTTCCTCAGGCACTTCCTGGGGGCAAACCTATGGGGTCAAGAGAGAGGACTCGCCCATAGTATAAAGGGGGGGGAGCGTGGCTTTTCCTTCCTGCTCCTTCCCAAGCCAGCAGCCACCCCACGGGCACGAGCCCGGCAGGATGGATCCGTCACAGGCAAAGGGGTTCCGAGATCTCGGGGTGCAAAGCACAAAAGGGAGCTCTTAAAACCCTGCCCTGGTGTTGCTGGGCCGAGGGTCCAGCCCTAAGAGAGCATCTCCAGGGGGTGCCATGGATGCAGGGCTCACGGGAAGACCGGGAATTGCGGAGAGGAAGAGGATTGGAGCCAAGAGATGAGGATGGATCCGTTCGGGAAGCTGAGGACACCAAGAGCTCTTTGGGGGTTCATTCTGCACCCCCGGCCCTATGGCGTGGCCATAGGGAATGGGAGAGGAAGCAGAGCCCCAAGGAAGGGGGGAAGCGGAGCTCAAGGTGTGAAGGAAGGGATCCAGGCTGGGGGTGGTGATGGGAGCTCCCCATTCCCACTGGGAGTTGGGAACTGGTGCCCGGCCCTGGGTGAAGAGGGAGGAAAACCAAGTCCTGATTGGGAACGCCCGAGGAGATCCGGATCCGGGCTGGGATTATCCCGGCGCGCTGAGGTTGACGCGGACAGGAAACGCCCTGGGAGAGAGGGGGTAGCAGCTTCCCCTTGGGAATGTGGGGTGGGAGCAGGGGAGAGCGGCCCCTGTTCGCCTCCCAGAGGTTCAATTCCAGAAGATGGGAAGCGAAGGCTTCCAAAGAGAGGAAAGGGAAAGCGGTTGGGATGCGCGAGACTTCCCCCCTCCATGGCAAGTGAGGGGGGGGATTGCTCCTAAATCCCTGCTGGAACCAGGATCAGAGAATCCCAGTCTGGATGGGTGCGAAGAGACCTTAAAGCTCAGGGGCAGGGACCCCCTCCATTGGAGCCCCATAGGAATGGGAATTGGAGCCAGGAATGAGGCATCCAAACCTTCTCCCTTCAGCCCATCCCAGCTCCTCAGTGCCCTCCCAGGGAGGAGCTTCTGCCTCAGAGCTCATCCCAGTCCCCTCTCCATTGATTCCTGATGGAAAACCGGGAATGAAACCGCTCCAGGATGCGCCACCGGGGAGCCCTGTTGGGAAGAGCCATTGGGGAGAGCGCTGGGAGCATCGCATCCCAGGAAAACCCTGTGCTGCCAACGCAGAGGTGATGAGGAGGAAAGGCAAGGCTGAGCCAAGTGAAAACTAGGATAGAAGCGAAGGAAAAGCATGGGAATGGGAAGGCTCCCATGTTCCTCATGGAAAACCAGCGTCTTTTCTCTTGACCTTGAAGCATTCCCAGCTGTACCCCTTGGGAAGAGGAGAGCGTGGCAGGGAAGCAGCGCTGCCTCCAGGCCCCCGATCCATAGGGAAAGCACCCATCAGCAAAGGCATCAAGAGGGAATAATCACCTTCAGCTCCCGCTTGCGAGTCCGGTCGCTGTTGGCCTTGGAATGCCGGGAGCTCCGCCCTTCTTCCACGGCTTCAAAGAGCTTGTCCACAAAGCGCAGCGTGGACTCGTCCAGGAAGGGCTTGAGGTGGTCTGGAAAAGAGGAGGAACTGGGTAAGGAAAGGGTGGGAATGATCCCAATTCCTCCCCCATCCGGGATATGGGAATGCCGCTGCCAGGAGCTTCCAACCGCGCCCAAATGCGCTCCAAAATAGGCAAAATCCTCCTTTTGGGACCCAAACTCTCGGCTCCATCCTGCTTTGCTCCACGCATCCCAAGGCGGAAGGACCCCGCTGTGCCCCCAGTCCCGTACCCGCTGCCTTCTTCTTGTCCATGCCCTTGCCCACGCAGTTGAGGGCGGCCGTGACCACGGTGGGCTCCGAGAAGCCCAGCACTCGCTTCACCGTCTTCTCGATCCAGGGCTTGAGCTCGTCCAGCTCCCGCTTGGACAGCGCCATGGCGGCCGGCGCCCCCCGGGCCTGATCCTGCACAGAGAAGGGCCCGATCCCGTCAAGCAGGGATGGTTTAATGACACCACCACCATTCCCCCCCCACACACGGTCTGATCCCATTGGGAAATGGGATGGAATCCATTCAGGAGCACGGCCAGGGATGGGGCAGCCGCAGCTTCCCTATGGAGCAGTGGGGAACGGAGCGGCCCCGCCACGGCCTCCCCGCAGCCGCGGCCTGCTCCCAGTGCCCTCCTACCGCCCCCGTTCTATTCCTGCTCCCGGCCCCATTCCCATTACCTCTCCCAGGCCCATTCCCGCTCCCGCTCACATTTCCGGCCCCATTCCCGGTTCCATTCCCATTCCCGGTCCCATTCGCGTTCCTGGTCCCATTGCCTTTCCCGGTCCCGTTCCCGGCCGTGTTCCCGGTCCGACTCCTATTCCCGGCCCCATTCCCGTTCCCGCCCCATTCCCGGTCTCAGCCCCGTTCCTTTTCCCTAACCCATTCCCGTTCCTATTCCCTGCCCCTTTCCCAGTCCCGCTCTTATTCCCGGCCCCATTCCCGGTCCCAGCCCTATTCCCATTCCCTTTCCCGGCCCCATTCCCGGCTCCGCTCCTGTTCCCGTTCCCTTTCCCGGCCCCATTCCCGTTCCCGGTCTCTCACCGGGTGCGGCCGGGGCCCGCTCGGCGGCCCTTGACGGCGACGGCACGTCGCGGCGGAACCGGAAATGACGGCGCGGCGCCTGCGCGCGGCGAAGGATGACGGGAAGGCGGGTGGGACTTTGGGCGGAAGAAGAAGGACAGTGCGTCCCCGAGGGGGTGGGTGTGTCTAGTGCGGTGATTGGTGGAAGAGACGTAGGCGTAGCCTGATTGGCTGACCAAAACCCCTCCGATAGGCGTTGCCTTCGCTTCACCCCGCCCACCCGCAACGATTGCCAGCGCTCCCACCCAATCGCAGCTCCCGGCGGGGATGACGACAACCGGAAGCGCCGTAAGGGAAGCAGGAGCCTTTATTGCGGCCGCCATTAGCAGCCGAGCCACGGGTCCTGCCGGTTGCTCCGCGCCAGGAAGCCGATCTTGCGGGCCATCTCGGCGTTGTACACCCGCCGGCTCGCCTCGTAGGCCTCCCGCTGCCGCCGCCGGCACGGCTTCTCGTAGTAGCGCCCGCGCCGCACGGTCTCCACCAGCCCGTCCTGCGTCAGGATCCTGCGGGCCGCAGGGGAGGCCTTAACGGCAGCGGAGCCCAAAACGGGGAGAAAAGGAAGGGGGAATGGGGAGGTTCCGGTGCTCGGCCTCGTTCCCCGCAGGCCCTCACCTATTGAGCGCGCTGTAGGCAGCCTCCACGTTGCCGTTCTGCACCATGACGGTGCGGCCCCAGAACCGGAGGTGATTCGCCATGGGGGGCGCGGGGCTGGAGCGGTGGGGGTGGGGATGAACCGAAGCCCCTCCCCTCTCCGTGACCCACACACAGACACCACCCCCACACCCCCCGGTCTCCCCCTTTCAACCGGCGGGACCCGGCCCCCGGTGCCGCCGTTGTTTTCGCCCCACTCACCGCGACCGACCGGGAACCGGACGTGACGTCGCGAGCAGCGCTGGGCGGGGCTTATGACGCAGGGGACGTGGCTTGGGACAAAGGGGCGGGGCTTGTCCCGTGGGGAAAGGTCAGCGCTTAGGGGGCAGGTCACGGGGTCAGAGGTCACCATTTAGGGCTCGGGGGGAGGGGGGCTGGACCTCCCCCCTCCCCACCTTGCTTCCGGTGGGGGGAGGGGACAATGGGGTGGGGGAGGGGCAGTGGGGTTACCCCACCCCCACAAGCACCACATGGGGGGGGTCCTGCCCCTACCCCCCGCTCCCGGATCACAAAACCCTCATTAAAGAAGAAAATACCCCAAAAAAAGGCCAAAAATGGTGAATGGGAGGGAGGGGGGAGGGGAGGGGTGGGGGTCACGCATCCGGGGTCGTGCTGCGGGGGGAGGGGCGGAGGCGGTGGCGGCGGGGGGGGGAGGGACCCGGTTTGGGGGTCACGTGAGGGAACCAGACCCGGAGCATCCCCTCCACCTGCAGCAGCGTCGCCAGGTACCGGGCGCTGTGGGGGAAGGAAAGGCACCAGTGAGGGGGGGAGGCGCCCCCTAGCGGGCGGGAGGGCCCCGGCCCTATAGGGGGGCTGTGGGGAGGGGGACAGCGCTCACCCCATGTGGGGCTTCTGCAGGACCCCGATGATGCGGTGGAGCCGGTCCATGGCCAGGCTCTGCTGGAAGGTGCTGAGGCCTGGGGGGTGCAAAGGGAATTAAGGGGGAGCGGAAGCGGAAAAATGGGAGGAAATAGGGCAAAAAGGAGGGAAAAGGGGAAAAAAAAGGAAAGAAAAAGGGAAAAAAAGGGAGGAAATACAGAGGAAAAAAGGGAGAAATGGGAAAAAGGGAGGGAAAATAAGCAGAAAGGGAGAAAAGTGGGGACAAAGGGGGGGAAAGAGGAAGAAAAGAAGGAAATAAGGAAAAAAGGGAGGAAAAGGGGAAGAAAAAGGAACAAAGGGGGAAAAGTGAGGAAAAAGGGAAGAAACAGGGGAAAAGGGGGGAAAAGAGGAAGAAAGGGAAGGAAAAGTGGGGAAATAGGGAGGAAAAAAGGGAGAAATGGGAGAAAAGGGAAAAGAAGCAGAAAAGGGGGGAAAGTTGGGAAAGGGAGGAAAAGGGGAGAAAGGGGGAGGGAAAATGGGAAAAAAGTGAAAATGAGAAAAAAGGGGGGGAAAGGAGGGAAAAGAGGCAGAAAGGGGGGAAAGTGGGGGAAAAGGGGGGAAGGGAGGAAAAAGTGAGGGAAAACGGGAAAAAAGGGGGGAAAATGGGGAAAAAGCAGGGAAAAGAAGCAGAAAGGGGGGAAAGTGGGGGAAAAGGAGGAAGGGAGGAAAAAGTGAGGAAAAATGGGAAAAAAAGTGAGGAAAATGGGAAAAATGGAGGGAAATGCAGCAGACAGGTTGGTAAGGGGGGAAAGGAGGGAAAAGGGAAGGGAAAATGGGAAAAAAAGGGAGAAAATTGGGAAAAAAGGCAGGAAAAAAGGGAGGAAAAGAGGAAGAAACAAAAAAGGGAGGAAATAGGCAGGCAAAAGGAGGAAAATGGGGAAAAAGGGTGGAAAAAGGTGGGAAAAGAAGCAGAAAGGTAGGAAAGTGGGGGGAAAGGGAAGAAAAGGGGAGGGAAAATGGGAAAAAAGAGGAAAATGGGGAAAAAGTGAGGAAAAAGGGGGGGAGGGGAAGAAAAAGGGTGGGAAAAGGAGGAAAAGTGGGGGGCAAAGGGGGGGGAAGGGGAAGGAGAGGGGGGGGAGGGGCACCCACCTCTGTGGAACCGCCCCCGCTGGAGCCCCTCGAGCAGCTCCTGCAGGGGCCGGATGAAGCCCCCGAGCTCCTGGCACTGGGGGGGGGGGGGGAGCAGAGGCAGAGCTGGGACCACAGCATCCGATGGGGGGGGAGGGGGGGATCCCTCTGCCCCCCCCCCCCCCCCTCCTCCCCTCCCCCCCTTTGGTTTTCACCCCAAACCCTCACTTTTTGGGCAAAGACGCGATCGGCATCGCTGGGGGGGAGGGGTCGCGGCTTCCCCCCTCCCTCCCCTTTCCGGGCCCGCTTCGCAGTGCACGGGGATGGGGGGGACCCGGGGGGACCTCGTTTCGGGGCCCCTCCCCCCCCTCCTCGGCGCTTGGAGCCGTGCTCAGGGGTGGGGGGGGTGGGGACGGGGCCCCCCCCTTCGGCTTCGCTGTCGGAGGTGGGGGAGCCGCAGGAGCAAGCGCGGGGGAGGGGATCCATTGCGGGGGGGGGAGGGGTTCAGCTCCGTCGGGAAAAGGCTGCGGGGGGGGGGAGGGAAAAAAGAGGGGAAAAAGGGGGAATTTGGGTCAAAATGGGAAGGGGCAGAGAAAGGAGCCCCCCCCCCCATAAAGACGGGACCCCCATAACCCCCCCGCCCGCATTGCACCCCCCAATGGGATCCCTGCATCCCGGTACCGGTATCCCTATCCCGGTAGCGCTATCCCAGTACCGGTAGCGCTATCCCGGTACCCGTATCCCGGTACAAGTGTCCTTATCCCGGTGCCGGCATCCCTGTATCCCGGTACTGGTAACCCTATCCCGGTGTCCCCATCCCGGTATCACTATCCCAGTACCGGTGTCCTTATCACTACGCCGGTATCCCTGTATCCCTATGCCAGTATCGCTATCCCGGTACCGGTGCCCTTATCCCGGTGCCGGTATCCCTATCCCGGTATCACTCCCCCTGTATCCCGATACCGGTGTCCCGATCCCTGTATCCCGATCCCTGTATCCCTATCCCGGTATCACTCCCCCTGTATCCCGATCCCGATATCGCTCTCCCTGTATCCCGATATCGGTGTCCCGATCCCAGTGCCCCGATCCCGACCCCTGTATCCCTATCCCGATATCGCTCTCCCTGTATCCCGATCCCAGTGCCCCGATCCCTGTATCCCGATCCCGATATCGCTCTCCCTGTATCCCGATACCGGTGTCCCGATCCCCGTATCCCGATCCCTGTATCCCGATCCCGATATCGCTCTCCCTGTATCCCGATACCGGTGTCCCGATCCCCGTATCCCGGTCCCGATGCGCGTTTCCCGGTGTCGCTGCTCCCGGTCCCACCCGGCTTGCGCTGGCCCCACGCGGACACGTGCGCGGCCGCACGTGCCTCGCGCCGGGCCCCGCCCACCCCGTTCGCTCATTGGCTCCCGCGCCCCAGTAGCGGGCGGATCCTCCGCGCCGCGCCACGCCCCCTCGCTCCTGGTTGGCCGGCGCTGCCCAATGCGGAGCCGCCCCGCAGCTGATTGGGCGGAGGAGGTGGGGGCAGCGGCCACGCCCCTCCATGTGGAGACACAGGTTCCGCGCTGGGGGGGTCTTCGGCTCCGCCCCCTTTCCCCTCCCCGCTGCCTCTCACCAATGGGCGGTGACTTTGGCCGCACGTCACGGCCAATAGGGAGGGAGGGGCGGGGCTGAACCGTGTTACATAATGAAGAGGGGGCGGGAGGGCGCGCGGACCAGCACGTGGGGGGAGGAGTGCACCTTGGTGACGTCAGGGAGAAGAGGCGTGGTAAGAGTTTAGGGGGCGTGGTTTATAAAGGGGCGTGGCTTATAAAGGGGGCGGGGCGAGGGAGCCAGCCCAGGCCCCCCCCCACGTCCCCCAGCGCCCCCATGAGCCCTCCTTTGAGCCCCCCAACCCCTCCCAGCCACCCTTGACCCCCCAATGAGCCCCATGACCCCCCCATCCCCTGACCCCCCCCTTTCCCCCATCCCCCCCTAATTCCCCCCATCCCCCCCTCATCGCCCTGGGGATGGAGCCCCCTCCCCCCCATTTCCCCCCCCTCCCCCCCCCTTGGGGGTATTTAACCCGGGTCCAGCCGCCCCCCATCCCCCCCCCACCATGCTGCTGCCGCTGCTGCTGCTGTTGGGGGCCCTGCCCCCTGCCCTCTCTGCTGGTGAGTGCCCCCCCCCATCACCCCAAAGTGGGGACCCCCCCTTGGGGACCCCAGGGCTGAGTTTGAGGGGGGGGTCCTCATCTCAGAGCCCCCCCCCAAAATCTCTATTTCCCCCCCCCCCACAGGTCCCCATTGGACGTATGAGGGTGAGTGAGGCCGCGGACCCACACCGGCACCCCCAAATTGGGGAGGGGGGGGATGGATGGGTGCAGCCCTCCCAAACCCCTCACCCTGTTCCCATAGAGCTGGGTACCCATAACCCCCCCCCAAGACCCCTGGGTCCCCCCATTTAGATGTAGATGAAAGGGTCCCCCCCCTACTTCTTTGTGTGCCCCCAAATGGGAGCTGGGTGCTTGGGTGCCCCCCCCTTTCCCGGTGTCCCCTTGGGTCCCCACCGTGCTCCAATGCTCCCATTGTGCTCCCTTACATAAAGCTCCATCCCCGCTGCCAAATCCAATTAGGATCCGATCCCAGTTAAACCCCATCCCATTGGGGACCCCCCCCCCCCCCCTCTGCCTTTGTCCCCGCTCCCCGAGCCGGAAAGGATTAAAGGGAATTGGGAAGATCCCGGGGTCAAGCGGGGCCATTCCCGACGTCAGGAACACCGGGATCACCCCCCCCCCCCCCGTAGGTCCCCATGGGCAGCACCATTGGCCCGAGGGGTACCCGGTGTGCGGGGGCCGCGCTCAGTCCCCCATCGACATCCGGGTAACGGGGGTGCAACCGGACCCTTCGCTGCCCCCGATCCGCCCCGAGGGGTACGAGAGCCCCGGGGCTGAGCTGCTGGAGCTGAGCAATAACGGGCACACGGGTAACGGGGGGGACGGGAATGGGGGTACGGGAACGGGGGGTACGGGAATTGGGGGGGACCGGGATTCGGGGGGACCGGGATTTGGGGGGGGAATCGGGATTGAAGGGGAGGCGGGATTGGGGGGGATTGGGGGGGGACCGGGATTGGGGGGTACGGGAATTGGGGGGGTACCGGGATTGGGGGGGGTTGGGGAGCTACCAGGATTGGGGGGGTACCGGGATTGGGGGGGAACCGGGATTGGGGGCGGGAATTGGGGATCGGGATTGGGGGGCAACCGGAATTGAGTTGGGACCGGGATTGGGGGGTACCGGGATTGGGGGGGGGACCCGGATTGGGGGGGAGCCCGTTCTGGGGGGGGACCGGGATTTGGGGGGTACGGGAATTGGGGGGGACCGGGATTGGGGGGACCTGGATTGGGGGGGGGGATCGGGATTGAAGGGGAGGTGGGATTGGGGGGGATAGGGATTGGGGGGTACTGGGATTGGGGGGGGGATCGGGATTGGGGGGGGGATTGAGGGGTACGGGAATGGGGGGGATCGGGATTGGGGGGGACCGGGACTGGAGGGGAACGGGATTGGGGGGGAACAGGGATTGGGGGAGACTGGGATTTGGGGGGGGATCGGGATTGAAGGGGAGGCGGGATTGGGGGGGACCGGGATTGGGGGGATCGGGAATTGGGGGGTTCGGGATTGGAGGGGAACGGGATTGGGGGGGGAACCGGGATCGGGGGGGGGGATCGGGACTGGGGGGAACCGCGAGTGGGGGGGGCACCGGGATTGGAGGGGATCGGGACTGGGGGAGGCACCGGGATGGGGGTTCCCGACCGGCCCCGTGTCCCCGCAGCGGTGCTGGAGCTGCCGCGGGGGCTGCGGCTGCGGGGGCTCCCCGGGATCTTCGCCGCGGAGCAGCTCCACTTCCACTGGGGAGGAGCCGGGGGGCGCGGGGGCGCCGAGCACCTGGTGGAGGGGAACCGGGCGGCTGCGGAGGTACCGGGGGGGGGATTGGGAATGCGATGGGAAAGGGATGGGAATGGGGTGGGAAAGAGGATGGGAATGGGAAATGGGATGGGAATGGGAAAGGGATGGGAATGAGGTGGGAAATGGGAAAGGGATGGGAATCAGGTGGGAAATGGGATGGGAATGGGATAGGAAATGGGGTGGGAATGGGAAAGGGATAGAAATGAGGTGGGAAATAGGATGGAAATGGAGAATGGGATGGGAATGGGAAAGGGATTGGAATAAGGTGGGAAACGGGATGGGAATGGGAATGAGGTGGGAAACAGGACGGGAATAGGAAATGAGATGGGAATAAGGTGGGAAATGGAATGGGAAAGGGAGAGGAACAAGGTGGGAAATGGGATGGGAATAGGAAATGGGATAGGAATGGGGTGGGAAATAGAATGGGGATGGGAAAGGGATTCGAATAAGGTGGGAAACGGGATGGGAATGGGATGGGAATGGGGAATGAGATGGGAATAAGGTGGGAAATGGAATGGGAAAGGGAGAGGAACAAGGTGGGAAATGGGATGGGAATAGGAAGTGGGATAGGAATGGGAAATGGAATGGGAATGGGAAATGATGGGATAGGAATGGGAAATGGAATGGGAATGGGATAGCAGTGAGGTGGGGATGGGAAATGGGGTGGGAACGAGGTGGGAAATGGTGCAGGGAAGGGGAAAAGGGTCCTGGTGCGGGAGCAGCCGAGGCAATGGGGCTGTGGAGCGGGGATGGGGTCAGAAGGGAAGGGGGTGATGGGGGGGTCCCTGCTCTGCCCCCCCCCCCAGATGCACGTGGTGCACTACGATGCCGGGCGCTACGGCAACGCCAGCGAGGCGCAGCATCACAGCGGGGGGCTGGCTGTGCTGGGGGTGCTGCTGGAGGTACCCACCCCCCCCAAAACCATCCCAACCCCCCCCAAAACACCCTGAAACCATCCCAAAACACCCCCAAAACACCCCAAAACCATCCCCAAACACCCCTAAAACATCCCAAAACACCCCAAAACCATCCCAAAACATGCCAAAAGCATACCAAAACACCCCAAAACCATCCCCAAACACCCCAAAACCCCTCTAAACTCCCCCAAAACCTCTCTAAACCGCTCTAACCCCCCCCAAAACCCATCTAAACCCCCCAAAACTCCTCTAAAACCCCCCAAAACCCCTCATAAAGCCTCCCAAAACCCCTCTAACCCCCCAAAATCGCCCAAATTCCTCTAAACCCCCAAAGCCCCTCTAACCCCAAAACCCCTCTAAACCCCCCGTCACCCCCCCATTCCCCCCCCAGGTGGGTGCTGCCCCCCACCCCGCCTACGCCAACATCCTGAGGCACCTGAGCAGCATCCGCTACGCTGGTGAGTGCCGGGGCGCTGATGGTGAACCCCATGGAGAAACGGGGGGGGGACCCCAAATTCCTCCTCCCCCCCCCAATTCCTCCTCCCTCCCAATTCCTTCTCCCCCCCCAAATTCCTCCCCCAATTTCCTCCTTGCCCCCAATTCCTCCCCCCCAATTCCTCCTCCCCCGAAATTCCTCCTCCTCCCCAAATTCCCCCTCCCCCCCAAATTCCTCCTCCCCCCCCAAATTCCTTCTCCCCCCCAATTCCCCTCCCCCCCAAATTCCTCCTCCCCCCCCAAATTCCTTCTCCCCCCCAATTCCCCTCCCCCCCCCAGGTCAGAGCACCTCCATCCCCTCCTTCAGCCTGCGGGCGCTGCTGCCCCCCCGCCTGGATCTCTATTACCGGTACAACGGGTCCCTGAGCACCCCCCCCTGCTCCCAGGGCGTCCTCTGGACCCTGCTCCGGGAGCCCGTGCGCATCAGCCAGGCCCAGGTGAGGGGAGAGCACCCCGGGATGGGGGGGGAGGCAAAATCCAGCCCCCCCCCATATTCCATGTGTTCCCCCATATACCATGTATCCCCACCATATTCCATGTCCCCTCTCCATATTCCATGTGTTCCCCTCATATTCCATGTGTTTCCCCCCATATTCCATGTATTCCCCGCATATTCCATGTGTTCCCTTCATATTCCATGTATCCCCCCATATTCCATGTATCCCCCATATTCCATGTGTTCCCCCATATTCCATGTATCCCACCCCATATTCCGTGATCCCCCTATATTCCATGTGTACCCCCCATATTCCATGTGTTCCCCCATATTCCATGTATCCCCCCTATATTCCATGTATCCCCCTATATTCCATGTGTTCCCCCATATTCCATGTGTTCCCTCCATATTCCATGTGTTCCCCCCATATTCCATGTGTTCCCCCCATATTCCATGTGTTCCCCTCATATTCCATGTATTACCCTCACATTCCATGTGTTCCCCCCCATATCCCATGGATCCCATATTCCATGTGTTCCCCCCATATCCCATGTATCCCCCCCATATCCCATGTATCCCATATCCCATGTATCCCATATCCCATGTATCCCCCCCATATCCCATGTATCCCATATCCCATGTATCCCCCCCATATCCCATGTATCCCCCATATCCCATGTATCCCTCCCTCCCATATCCCATGTATCCCCCCCATATCCCATGTATCCCATATCCCATCCCCCATATCCCATGTATCCCCCCCATATCCCATGTATCCCCCCCATATCCCATGTATCCCATATCCCATGTATCCCCCCCATATCCCATGTATCCCCCCCATATCCCATGTATCCCATATCCCATGTATCCCATATCCCATGTATCCCCCCCATATCCCATGTATCCCATATCCCATGTATCCCCCCCATATCCCATGTATCCCACCCATATCCCACGTTGTTCCCCCCGTATCCCCCATCCCTTCCAGCTGGAGCAGCTCCAGGGAACCCTTTACAGCACGGAAGCATCCGAGGCCGAGCCCCGCCCCCTCCGGGATAACTTCCGGCTGCCCCAGGAGCTCCACCAGCGCGCGGTGCTCTGCTCCCTGCCCCGGGGTCAGGATGGGGACCCCCCCCCCCCCCCGTACCCCGCAAACGGCTCCTGGAGCCCCCCCCCCCCTACCCCGCAAACGGCTCCTGGAGCCCCTCCCCCCCCGTACCCCTCAAACGGCTCCTGGAGCCCCCCCCCACCCCCTGTACCCCCTCAAACGGCTCCTGGAGCCCACTTCCCCCCCCCCGTACCCCTCAAATGGCTCCTGGAGCCCCCCCCACCTGCACTGGGTGCAAGGCACCGGTGCTGAGCCCTGGCTCTTCTCTTGCAGCACCCGAGGGGTATTCAACAGGTAGGGATGGGATGGGATGGGATGGGATGGGATGGGATGGGATTGGATGGGATGGGATTGAATGGGATGAGATGGGGACGGGATGGATGGGATAGGACAGGTGAAATAGGATTGGATGAGATGGGAGAGATGGCGTGGGATGGGATGGATGGGATGGGATGGATGTGATAGATGGAATAGGATGGGATGAGATGGGAGGGATGGGATGGATGGGATAGATGGGATGGGATAGGATGGGGTGAGATGGGATGGGATGAGATGGGATGGATGGGATAGGATAGATGGGATAGGATGGGATGAGATGGGATAGGATGGGGTGAGATGGCATGGAAAGGGATGGATGGGATTGAATGGGATGGGATGAGATGGGATGGATGGGATTGAATGGGCTGATAGATAGGGTGGGGTGGGATGGATGGGATAAGATCAGGTGGGATGGATGGGATGAGATGGGATGGATGTGATGGGATGAGATGGGGTGGATGCGATGGGGGGGGGTGGGATTTGGGGTTCACCCCAACAATACCCCTAAGGTGAAGGCATCGCCATCATCATCGGCGCCCTGGGCGCCTGCATCGGCCTCTTCCTCAGCATCCACTTGGTGGCCAAGAGGCTGCGGTGAGAGGCTCCGGTCCCCCCCATCCCCAACCCCCCCACCCCCCCAAGGGCTGTCTCAGGGTCACCTCAACCCCTTTTTACCCCCCCCCCCCCCCCAAAGCAGCGCGAGGAGGACCCAGGAGCAGGACATCGTGTTCAAAGCCTCCTCCCATCGTGCCCCCTCCAACCACAGCCACCCCTGAACCCCCCCAGTGGGGGGGTCTCAATGCCCCCCCCATGGTGTGACAGAAATAAAGCCCTTTCCCCATCCCCCCCCTTTCCATGGCTCTTTAATGGGGGGGGAATGGGGTTGGGATCGGTACTTGGACACCCCAGTGGGTCCCCCCCCCCTTGAAGTGGAAGCAGATGGGGGGGCCCAATCCTGCCCCCCCCCCCCATGGCACCATCGCTCTTGTAAAAGGGTTTTACTCTGAATCCACAAAAATAATTTACCCCCCCCCAAATTGCTCAGTCACCAATGGGGGGGGGCACAGCACCCCCAAAACCAGCTCTGTGCCCCCCCCCCAGAGCATCACCCCATTGCAACAGAGGCCAAGTGTGGGGGGGGTGGCAGCAAGGGGGATGTGATGGAAAGGGGGGGTCCTGCCCCGAGCCCCTCGATGTGGCTGCACCCTGGGAGGCCCAAGGGAAGATTCCCTAAATCCCATTGGGAAAGGGTTGGGATCGGGGGGCCCCCCTGTGGGCACCGGGGGGACCGAAGGGCAATGGGAGATTCCAGAGGCCGGGAATGGGGCTCTCAGTCCTCACAAGGCACCTGCAGCGCTGAGTACATCATCACTGTGCTCTCATCCTCCTGCTTACCTGGGGGGTGCAGGACCATCAGGAGCCCCCCCCATTGAACAAGAGGGTTGCAAACAGGAGCTCTTCACCCCCATCCCACCCCCCAACACCCCAAAAGGGGCAGGGACCCCCCCCATACTCACAGGAGAGGCACTTGAGGACGTTGTGGAGGGAGCCCCCAGCAGTGATGAAGGCCCAGAGGCCCGTGCCCAGGGTGATGATGAAGATAGGGATGAGGCTGGCTTCGTACCAGGGGTTCAGGAATGTCTTGGGGTGGAGAGGGATGCGTTGGGAATGGGATGGGGATGGGGGGAGCAGATCCAACCCCTTGAAGGCTTCAAGTCCTACCCAAGGGTTTCCCAGTGGGAAAAGCCCATTGAGACCCCCCCCAATGGATCCAGAGGCTGAAGCAGCACTTGGGGTGTCCCTTGGGGTGTGGGGGGGCAGATCCAACCCCTTGAAGCCTTCAAGTCCTACCCAAGGGTTTTCCAGTGGTAATCGCCCATTGAGACCCCCCCAATGGATCCAGAGGCTGAAGCAGCACTTGGGGTGTCCCTTGGGGTGTGTGGGGGGGCACTCACCAGCCCCGAGGTGAGGAGGTGACTGGTGACCACCAGCCCCAGGCCCCAGTAGCGCCGGCGCTCGCAGGCATCGAAGAAGACGATGCCCCAGAAGGTGTGGAGCAGAACCAGGGCCATGGTGATGAAGGCTGCAAAAGGGGGGGGGGAAGAGACTTCAGACCCCCCCCTCCTTCCTCTTCCTCCCATTGGGGAAGGGCCCTGCTCCAGCCCCACCTGAGGTGATGAAGTAATAGGGGGAATCCCCATGGATGCCAACGGTCCCCGGCCCCATGGAGCTGGCCAGGATGTTGGTGATGGAGAAGGTGCCGCTGATGATGCCAAAGGAGAGGCCGGAGACTGTGGGAGGAGAAGGCCATAAATCAGCACAGGGGAAAGGGGAAGAGCTGGGAATGGTGCTGGGTTGGTATCTGTGATTCCCATTGTTGGGAAGCCCCAATGGGAAGAGTAGGGGCAGGCTGGTGCTCACCATAAGCCATCTGCCGCAGGGAGAGGGGGGATCGCCCGTCCTCGCTGATGGTCCCCAGCCCTTCATCGGCTTTCCTGCAGGGATGAAAGAGGAGGGAACAGGGAGAAGGGGTCGGACCCAGCCCATGGGATGGGTTCAAAGGGACCTTCAAGCCCCATCCCTTATCCAAAGCCTCTCGTTTAGGTGCTAAGAGGGGCAATGGGGGAATAGGGAGAAGGGGTCGGACCCAGCTCATGGGATGGGTTAAAAGGGACCTTCAAGCCCCATCCCTTATCCAAAGCCTCTCATTTAGGTGCTAAGAGGGGCAATGAGGGAATAGGGAGAAGGGGTCGGAGCCAGCTCATGGGATGGGTCCAAAGGGACCTTCAAGCCCCATCCCTTATCCAAAGCCCCTCATTTAGGTGCTAAGAGGGGCAATGGGGGAACAGGGAGAAGGGGTCGGCCCCAGCTCATGGGATGGGTTCAAAGGGACCTTCAAGCTCCATCCCTTATCCAAAACCCCTCATTTAGGTGCTAAGAGGGGCAGGATGCTCTCTATGGGCTCTGGGGGTGCAGCCCCACATATAAGGGGGGGTGCGTGTCCCCTGTGGGTCACGTGGGAGGTTCTGGGGTCCCCTGTGGGTCACGTGGGAGGTTCTGTGGTCCCCTGTGGGTCACGTGGGAGGTTCTGGGGTCCCCTGTGGGTCACGTGGGAGGTTCTGGGGTCCTCTGTGGGTCACGTGGGAGGTTCTGGGGTCCCCTGTGGGTCACGGGGGAGGTTCTGGGGTCCCCTGTGGGTCACGTGGGGGTTCTGGGGTCCCCTGTGGGTCACGTGGGAGGTTCTGGGGTCCCCTGTGGGTCACGTGGGAGGTTCTGGGGTCCCCTGTGGGTCACGTGGGGGGTTTTGGGGTCCCCTGTGGGTCACGGGGGAGGTTCTGGGGTCCCCTGTGGGTCACGTGGGGGGTTCTGGGGTCCCCTGTGGGTCACGTGGGAGGTTCTGGGGTCCCCTGTGGGTCACGTGGGAGGTTCTGGGGTCCCCTGTGGGTCACGGGGGAGGTTTTGGGGTCCCCTGTGGGTCACGTGGGGGATTCTGGGGTCCCCTGTGGGTCACGTGGGAGGTTCTGGGGTCCCCTGTGGGTCACGGGGGAGGTTCTGGGGTCCCCTGTGGGTCACGGGGGAGGTTCTGGGGTCCCCTGTGGGTCACGTGGGAGGTTCTGGGGTCCCCTGTGGGTCACGGGGGAGGTTCTGGGGTCCCCTGTGGGTCACGTGGGAGGTTCTGGGTCCCCTGTGGGTCACGGGGGAGGTTCTGGGGTCCCCTGTGGGTCACGGGGGAGGTTCTGGGGTCCCCTGTGGGTCACGGGGGAGGTTCTGGGGTCCCCTGTGGGTCACGGGGGAGGTTCTGGGGTCCCCTGTGGGTCACGGGGGAGGTTCTGGGGTCCCCTGTGGGTCACGTGGGAGGTTCTGGGGTCCCCTGTGGGTCACGTGGGAGGTTCTGGGGTCCCCTGTGGGTCACGTGGGAGGTTCTGGGGTCCCCTGTGGGTCACGTGGGAGGTTCTGGGGTCCCCTGTGGGTCACGTGGGAGGTTCTGGGGTCCCCTGTGGTTCACGTGGGAGGTTCTGGGGTCCCCTGTGGGTCACGTGGGAGGTTCTGGGGTCCCCTGTGGGTCACGTGGGAGGTTCTGGGGTCCCCTGTGGGTCACGTGGGAGGTTTTGGGGTCCCCTGTGGGTCACGTGGGAGGTTCTGGGGTCCCCTGTGGGTCACGTGGGGGTTCTGGGGTCCCCGTGGGTCACGTGGGAGGTTCTGGGGTCCCCTGTGGGTCACGTGGGGAGGTTCTGGGGTCCCCTGGGTCACGTGGGAGGTTCTGGGGTCCCCTGTGGGTCACGTGGGAGGTTCTGGGGTCCCCTGTGGGTCACGTGGGAGGTTCTGGGGTCCCCTGTGGGTCACGTGGGAGGTTCTGGGGTCCCCTATGGGGCGCTCACTTGAGCACTTTGAAGTAGGCGAAGCGGAAGAGCTCCTGCAGGAGCACGGAGCCGGCGGCGCCCACGAGGAGGAGCCCTCGCTGCGGCTGCGCCTGCGCCTGCGCCCGGGGCTCGCTCACCCGGAGCAGCAGGAACCAGAGCAGGGAGGCGAGGAGCAGCGCCACGAGCCAGAAGAAGGCTCTGGAGGAGGCACAAACACAGCACCCCCCCCCCCCCCACCGCCATTGAACACAGGCACAGGAGGAGGGGATGCGGGGCTGGGGAGGGGAGCGGTTTAGATCCAACCCCTCTCAGGGCCCAGTCCCATTCCCAGTCCCAAACCCCCTCAGGGCCCATTCCCCTTCCCTCAGTGCCCATTCGCATCCCCAACCCCTCTCAGGGCCCATTCCCACTCCCCTTCCCTCAGTACCCATTCCCCTTCTCCATCCCTCAGGGCCCATTCCCAGTCCCAAACCCCCTCAGGGCCCATTCCCCTTCCCTCAGTACCCGTTCCCCTTCTCCATCCCTTAGTGCCCATTCCCATTCCCCTTCCCTCAGTGCCCATTCGCATCCCCAAACCCCCTCAGGGCCCATTCCCCTTCCCTCAGTACCCATTCCCATTCTCCATCCCTTAGTGCCCATTCCCATTCCCCTTCTCTCAGGACCCATTCCCATTCCCCTTCCCAAACCCCCCCCGGTCCCCTTCCCTCAGGGCCCCTTCCCATTCCCAAAACCCCTCAGGTCCCCTTCCCCTTCCCTCAGATCCCATTCCCATTCCCAAACCCCTTCAGGGCCCGTTCCCATTCCTAAACCCCCTCAGTGCTCATTCCCCTTTGCAAACCCCCTCAGGTCCCCTTCCGCTTCCCTCAGGGCCCATTCCCAATCCCAAACCCCCTCAGGGCCCATTCCCATTCCCAAACCCCCGCAGTGCTCATTCGCATTCCCAAACCCCCTCAGGGCCCATTCCCATTCCCTCAGATCCCATTCCCCTTCCCCTTTCCTCAGGGCCCATTCCCAATCCCAAACCCCCTCAGGGCCCATTCCCATTCCCTCAGGGCCCATTCCCATTCCCAAACCCCCTCCGTGCTCATTCACCTTCCCTCAGTGCCCATTCCCAATCCCAAACCCCCTCAGGGCCCATTCCCAAACCCCCTCACGTCCCCTTCCCTCAGGGCCTACTCACAACCCCAAACCTCCTCAAGTCCCCTTCCCTCAGGCCCATTCCCATTCCCAAACCCCCTCAGAGCCCATTCCCATTCCCAACCCCCCCGGTACCGGTTCCCGCCCCGGTCCCGCTCTCACCCCGCCACCAGCACAAGGACCCGCAGCGGCTCCGCCGCCACCGTCAGCAGCACCAGGGCGAGCGCGGGCCCGAAGGCGATGGCGGCGCAGCCGAAGAACACGGCGGCGGCCATGGCGGCGCGCCGGGAGAGAGCGCCCCGCAGCGGCGGGTGGCGTGCGCCTATAGCGCCCCCTGGCGGTGGGAGGTCGCACAGGGGGTGTGTGTGTGTTGGGGGGGTAGGACCAGTGATGGGGATGCTGCAGTGATGGGGGGACGTCTATCTGTATCCCAAACCGGTGCCATCCTGACCCCCAAATTCCCCCCCCCTCCAGCCTGAATTGTTCCCTGTACTCCACGTTCCTCCTGCCCCCCAAATTCCCTCTCTGCCCTTCAAACTTCCCCTGCACCCCAAATTCCCTCCATAGCCCAAGCTCCCCACCTGGCAGTGGTGGGGTGCTGACCCTGCCCCACTGCCTGCAAAGGGGCAGGGGTGAGATGAAATGGAATCTTCCATCCTCACATCCAAGTTCCCATCTGGAATCTCAGCGGGATGGGAGAATCCCATCTCCTGGTGAGGAAATGGACTTTTGGGGTGCAACCAAGTCCTGCCTGGAGCATCCCAGTGTGGATGTTGTGGGGGGAACCTTGCACTGGGATCCAGCTCTGGAATGATCCCAGAGGAGCTGCCCCATCCCTGGCAGTGCTCAAGGCCAGGCTGGACACAGGGGCTTGGAGCATCCTGCTCCAGTGGAAGGGGTCCCTGCCTGTGGAATTGGATGAGCTGTAAGGTCCCTTCAACCCAAAGCATTCCTGGGTTCCATGACTGATATTCCTGACCCCCATCCACACCAAAAGGCAGGGAGATGCCTCCAGGATATCCTGGTAAAAGCAAAGAGATTCCATTCTGATTCATTTTATTACAAAACCCTTAGTACCAAATCCCACCTCAACCCATGCGAGCCACCAGGAAGAACAGAGCCCCCCAATCCGTTGCTCATGGAAGCACAACGGGGATACCAGGAGACCTCTTTGGACCCCATCTAGAGGAGCATCAACAGCTCCAGGTCTGTTCCCCACGGAGGTTTCATTGTTGAAGGCGGGACCTCGAGCTCCCACATCGGATTTGGGCTTGGGGTGTCCAGATTTGGGGTGGGGAAGGCACCACCTCACCCTGTGCAAGGTGGAGCTGCTCCAGCCTGGATCCCAATGGGTGCTGGTGGCATCGGCTTGGCTCAGTTCTTCTTGGTTTTGGGGGTGTCATACTTCCTCTTGCTGGAATACCACAGCAGCAATGGGATGCCAATGGAGGGCAGGGTCATCACACCAAAAGCTGCCCAATCCAGCTGCAAGAAGATGTTGGAAGAGTCAACCCAAAGCCATGTAGATGAGGCTTAAAGGCATCAGACTGTCCCTATGGGAAAGCTCGTGGCTCAAATCCCACCAGGGATCACTGGGATGCAGAGCTCTTGTTTGGGTGCAATCCATACCCAACACCCATCAAAGGTACTCACAAAATGTGGGGAGAACCTCCTGTCGAACTCCCTTTGTGCCAGGATCCCCCCCTGCCCCGGAGCACTGGTGAAACCAACCTGGAAAAGAGGGGGAAATGGGATGGGATCGGTTCCCTTTTCCTTCTGGAGCAGGGCCATGGATCATGGCCAGCCTTAAAGGGAAGGGAAACTGGTGCCCAATGGCACTCACCACAACCTGGCCCCCCTCCTGTGCCAGGTAGGTGATGGTGGCCGAGGTGAAGTTGAAGTAGCCGGCTTTGAGAGGCCGCAGCACCACGGTGTGGGACACGTTGCTGGCTCTGAGCAATGGGAGTTAAGGAAAAGGCTTGGATTCAGCTAAAGGAAAAGGGAGGAGATGGGGAAAGAGGAGCTGCAAACCAGAGGGAAAAGTCATCGGTGGAATCCTGAATGGGCTGGGTTGGAAGGGAGCTCAAAGCTCATCCAGTTCCAACCCATTCCAGCTCCTCAGCATCCTCACAGAGAGGAGTTTCTGCCTATGATCCCATCTCCATCCTCCCCTCTATCAGGTTAAAGCCGTTCCCCTTGGCCTGTCCCTGCATCCAAAGCCCTTTCCCAGGTTTCCTGCAGCCCCTTTAGGCACTGGAGCTGCTCCACATCCCTGTTGTGCTGCTCTGGGTCAGGCTCCAGGGGTGAGGAGGAGCACTGGGAGCGAGTCCATGGATACGGAGCGATCCTGTCCCACTTGACGTTGAGCATTCCAGAGACAATCCCAAAATCTTCCGGGGGGAAGGAATCATCCGAGAGCTCCACATCTAACGCTGCACTGAAGAGAGGGATGAGAAGGGGACATCAGCCTTGGCATTCCACACACAGAAGTCCATAGGGATCCTGGGTGAGGTGGTTTGGGAACAGAAGGTGGCAGATGGGGAGGGAAAGCAATGCAATGTAATGAGATGCTATAGGGAGAGGGCTGAAAGAAGAAAGCTGACATAGGGCAAAAAGGAAAGGCAACGAGGTGGGAAAGAGGTCCCAAAGCCCAGCGAGGGAGGCTGCGCCATGGGGAGCACGACACGGACCAACAGGAGAGAGAACAGGAGGAATCCCAGCTTCCACTTGGGAAACTCAGGGCCGGTGGGAGCAAAGGGAACAGCGCCTCATGGAGCTCGGGAAGCGGCTCCCGTCCATCCCCACACACATAAAGGTGGGGTTGATCCTTACCTGGAGCCCACGTTGTAGATGTTGTACTGCAGGGTCAGGTCCTTGCCCTCCACCGCGTACCGGTTCAGGAGGGCCTTGGAGGCCAAGAGCCGGGCGCCGTCCTCACAGCGGGCCACGGAGCACAGGGCGAGCACGGCGAGCGCCAGGAGCTTCATCTGGGAGCACAAACGGAAGGGAAGCGGGGATTTAACCATTAAATGCCCACACCGGAGCCCGCCGGTGCCCTCCGCTCCTCACCGTTCCGGTCCGGCCTCGCTCCTCCGGCCGCGTCAGCGCTGAGGCAGCCCCTCAGGGCCAACATGGCGGCCGGAAGCGGCCGCAGGGTACGCTGGGAAATGTAGTCCCAACCCCACCCCGCCAGTGTGCTTTTCCCAGTGCGCATGCGCGCTACGGCGCAGCCCCCTCCGCAACGCGCCTCAACCCAACTTGCTGCTGGGCGCCGCCTTCTCATTGGTCAGCGCGCCGCCGGGGCGAGTCGGGATTGGTCGGGGCGGGGCAGGTGGGCGGGGGTAGGGTGCGGCGGACACGGTGAGGCGGCAAGAAGCGCCCGGTGTCTCCAGAAGGTTCGGTGGTCGGAGCCGCTGTCGCCGCCATGTTGGGCCCGCGGCCTGTGCTGGTGCTCAGTGAGTGTCGGTGCCCAGCCCCGGGGGGGGGCTGCGGCGGGGTCGGGCCGGGATCAGCGCTAGGACCGGGGTTGGGGCCGGTTCTCTTCCCTTCTTCCCTTGCCGCCGCCATGTTGGGGTCGGGGCGGCCGCGTGGGCCCTCAGACAGCGCCCGCCCCGAGGCCTTCACCTCAAGGGGCCCCTGAGGAGCCTCGGATCCCCCCCAACTCCTCAGCGCTGCCTGCGGCCTCCTGGCCTGGCCTTGAGGCCCGAATCCCGTCCCCACGGGTGCTGTGAGGGGGGCGCTCGGCTGTGTTCGTGCAGTCACAGAAGGGGTTGGGTTGAAGGGAGCTTAAAGCTCGTTTAAAGCCATGGCGTGGCCTTGAGCACTGCCAGGGATGGGGCACCCAAACCCTCTCCGTTCAACCCATCCTAGTGGCCTGGGGAAGGGGTTTTGCCTCCCTAATACCGTTATTCCCCTTCAGCTCGTTGCTTTTTGCTACCCCATTTGCACCGTGTGCGCTGTGAGCACCGGGGTCCCTTTGCTGGCCCCCTGCTCCCCTTTGTGCTGCTTTTGTTCCGTCCCCATCCATCCCTTCCTGCCTTCAAGCGGTGCCCATCCAGGCTGGGGATGGAGGAAGAGCAGTGCAGAGCCTGGAGCATCCTTAAGGCAGAGAACGCAGGGATAAAACTGAGTTTAAACCAGGGTTTTTCTTTACCTATAGTATTATTTATACACGTGTTTTATATATGTATATATGCTATATATATGCATATTACATTATTGTATCATATGTTATCTATATCTATTATATGCATGTATATTAAAGAGTACTATATGCTTTCTCATATATATCTGTATTGTATATATGATTATTGTAATATATCTTTGTATGGTTATATATATATTTACATTATATATACATATATTGTAATGTATTACTATGTATATATTTGCATTATATATACATATATTGCATTATATATACATATATTGCATTGTATATACATATATTCTAATGTATTACTATGCATGTTTTCATTATATATACATATATTGTGTTATATATACACATATTACAATGTATTTTTGCATTACATATATTGTATATATATATATTGGCATTATATATACATATATTGTGTTACTATATGCTTTCCCATATAATAATGGGAGCATCTGGGTTAAAAGCTCCTGTGCAGCAGCTTCTGGGTTAGGTTTGGACTTAAAGAGATCAACTTCAAGCCTCTTTGTACTTCACTGGCCTCTTCCTTTCCCATATCCATAGGCCAGAACATGAAACGGGAGTCGGGGAGGAAAGTCCAGACTGGAAACATCACTGCTGCAAAGGTACCAGCTCCTGCCCTCATGCAGTGTGTGTGTGTGAATGGATGGGTCCAACTAAAGAGGGGAAAATGGGGATTTGGAGCTTTCTATCCCAACTCCAGAGCAGAAGCAGCATGGAAATGAGGTCTCAGTGCAACTGAATGGGGAGAGGTTCCCCTTTGTCCAATCTGGAGGTGTTTAAGCTTTGCCGTTGGGTTTAGGTGATGCCAGTCCCTGTGTTTCATTCCCACCCCAGAGAGGAGCTTCCTTCCATTGTCCCCCAGCTGCTTGTCCCATTATGGGGTGGTTTGGACCTTTTTGATGCCCTCCAACCCTCTTCATGTCCTTTGTTCCTCCTAGACCATAGCGGACGTGATCAGGACGTGTTTAGGACCACGAGCCATGATGAAGGTAAGAGCTTTGCTCAGGACCCTGTGTTGGAGGCTGTGTTGAGCCCCACATGACCAAGTGGTGCTTCTTGGCTTGCAGATGCTTCTGGACCCCATGGGTGGGATTGTGATGACCAACGATGGCAATGCTATTCTCAG